CTGTGGGGTGCAGGGCTGGGGGGGGAGGCGGGCACGGGGGTGTGGGGCGGGGAATTTGGGGACAGGGTTACCTGGGCTCCTGCGGCAGCAGCGGTGGCCGAGCACGGCCATGCCCAGGAGAAGGGCGGTGCCCCCCAGGCCCCCCAGGAGCGGCCAGAGCAGCGCTGCAAGCACGGCCCGCCCGGGTCAGCCCGGCCCGGGACACCGACACGGCGGCGGAGGGCACAGCGGGGACAGCGGGGACACGTTTACCTGCCTGGTGTCCTCCAAGAGCTGCTGCGGAGAGGGGAAAGAGTCAGAAATGTCCCTGTGCCCGTCCCGGTCCCGGTCCCGATCCCGGTCCGCTCCTCACTGCGGCCACCCAAAGCCCCCCAAAATCTCCCCCCATGGGACCCCACCTACTCTGCTGTGACCCTCAGGACCCCCTCAAGCCCCTCGGCGGTGCCACCTCCCCGTGCCCCCCTGTCTCCCGCAGTCCCGGGCAGTACCGGGAGTCCCGGGAGCCCCGGGCAGTCCCGGGCAGTACCGGGCAGTACCGGGAGCCCCGGGCAGTCCCAGCAGTACCGGGCAGTCCCGGGAGCCCCGGGCAGTCCCGGGAGCCCCGGGCAGTCCCAGCAGTACCGGGCAGTCCCGGGAGCCCCGGGCAGTCCCGGGCAGTCGCGGGCAGTACCGGGGCTGACGCGGAGCTCGGTGCCGTTGCCGGTGGCGGTGGCGTGCCGGGGGATCTCCAGGGTCACGCTGCACACGTAGCTGCCGCTGTCGCTGTCCCGCACCTGCGGCAGGCTGAGGGTGGCCCGGGGGGGCTGCCAGGCCAGCTGCGCCCCCCGGGCACAGCGGGGACGGGGGAACGGGGGCAGCGGAGTGCCCAGGGGCAGGCGGGTGGCGCAGAGCACCCCGAGCCCCCCGCCCCTCACCCACTCCATCCGCAGCAGGGTCCCGCCCTCGGCCACCTCCACCTGGCACGCCAGGGCCACCGTGTCACCCGCGGCCGCCTGCAGCTCGCCCGGCTCCTGGGTCACCCGCAGGGCGCCCGCTGTGGGGACAGCCCCGGTCACCGGGGGTGGATGGAGCCCCGGGACACCCGTGGGGAGGGGGACGGGGACACCCCGGGCTCGCTGCTCAGCTCTGTCACCTCTGACCACACCGCCCATCCTGTCCCCCTGCCGCAGCCGTGTCACCGCCTCTGTCCCCGTGTCTGTCCCTCCCTCTGTGCCCTCAGCCCCCCTCAGGACAGATGTCCCCCTCACTCACCCCAGGTGTCACACAGGCTGAGCCCCGTGTCCCCTCGGTGTCCCCAACCCCACAGCACAGCCACGGGGTGCCAGGCGCTGTCCCCACTGTCCCCCCAGCCCGCCTTGTCCCCACTCACCTCCCAGGAGGGGGATGAGGAGCCCGAGCTGCCACATCCCCCTCCGGGGCCAGCCCAGCCCCCTCCGAGGGGCCGTGTCCCCGGGGGTCCCTGTCCCCACGCTGTCCCTGTCCCCAAAGCCTCCTGGCCCTGTGTCACCCGTGACACTGTGACACTGTGACACTGTGACACTGTGGCTTCCGGCCCTGTGGTACGGGGGAGGTGACAGGGACAGAGAGCGGGACCAGAGCGGGGACAGAGATGGGGACGTGGGCGGGGCTGGGGACAGGGACTGGGGCACGGATGGGGCAGAGGTGGGGGGGGACAGGGATAGGGACAGGGATGGGGACAGGGATGGGGACAGGGATGGGGACAGGGATGGGGACGGGGATTTAGACAGTGATAGGGATAGGGATGGGGACAGGGATGGGAACAGGGATTTAGGGTTGGGGACAGGGATGGGGACAGGGATACGGGACACCATCCCGAGCAAGGACAGGTGACAGCACCTGCTCAGGCTCCACCTTGATCCCGGAACCGCTCCAGCCTGGGGACGAGCCCCGTGGGGGCTTCCTCTGATCCCCCCAGAGCAGGGGGACCCCTCCTGCCCTGGGGCGGCCTGGGGGGTTCAGGCTTCCTGGGCTCCCCACTCACTGTGACAGTGTCTCCCCGCGGTGACAATATCCCCCCCTCCCCTCGCCCCCAGCCCTGGCCCGGCGCCCCCAACCCCCGGGGGTCGCGGCCTCCCTTCCCGGACTACAACTCCCAGCATGCCTCGGTGCTCCGGGGGCGGGGCCGGCGCGGGGCGGGGCGGGGCGGGGCGGGGGCGCCGCTCCCCCTTTGTTGGTGGCGGCGGGGCCGAGCGCGGCGGGGCCGGCCCGGAATGGGCGACCAGGTACGGCCCGAGCCCCCCGGCACCGGCAGCGCACCGGGACACCGGGAGCCACCGGGGAGCGGGGATGAGGGCAGGGAGCATGGGGATGGAGGATGGAGAGGGAGGGATGGAGGGAGAGGGGATGGACGGGTGGAGGGAGGGAGGGAGGGAGGAGGGAGGGATGAAGAAGATGAAGGAAGAAGGGCCCGAGGGATGGAGGAAGGAGTGATGGAGGAAGTGGGAATGGAGGGAGGAAGGGATGAAGGAGGGATGGAGGAAGAGCGGATGGAGGGATGGGAAGGAGGGAGGGAGGGAGGAAGAGGAAGGAAGGGATGGAGGAGGAGGGGTGAGGAGCGCAGGTGTGGATGGAGGATGCGGGGCTGAGGGGCTCAGGGTGGCCCCGGGGGCACGGAGGGGAGCGGGGCTCGGCCCTGGCACACTCACACTCACCCTCACACTCACTCACACACTCACATTGCCAAGTCATCGCCCCGCCATGCCGGGTGCCCGCGGTGCCCGGCCCGGCACGGCCCGGCACGGCCCGGGGGCAGCGCGGCACCCGCGGGCACTGACGGCCGCTGCAGGGCGCCGGGCAGGAATCTCTGCGCAAGATCATCACCACCCTGGCCGTGAAGAATGAGGAGATCCAGAACTTCATCTACTCCCTCAAGCAGATGATCCAGAACGTGGAGGTAGCCCCGGTCCCGCGCCCGGGCCCCCGGGCCGGGCCCGCTCGGCTCAGGCCCCGCTTGTGCCCAGGCCAACTCGGCGCGGGCGCAGCAGGACCTGGAGGCCGAGTTCCAGTCGCTCTACGCGCTGCTGGACGAGCTCAAGGAGGACATGGTGATGAAGATCAAGCAGGAGCGAGCCAGCCGCACCTACGAGCTGCAGGTCAGCCCCCCCGGCCCATGGAGCCCCCAGGCCCGGAGCCCCCCCAGGCCTGGAGCCCCCCAGCCCGGAGCCTCCCAGCCCCTGAAGCCCTCCCAGCTCTGGAGCCCTCCTGCCCCAGAGCCCCCAGGCCTGAAGCCCTCTCCAGACCTGGAGAACCCCCAGCCTGGAGCCTCCCATGGTCAAGAGGCCCCCCAGGCTTGGAGCCCCCCCAGCCCCTGGAGCCCCCCCAGGCCTGGAGCCCCCCAGCCTCCCAGAGCCCCCCCCAGCCCGGACCCCCTCCCAGCCCCCCGGCTGCCCTGTGCCCTCCTCCCTGCAGGCCCAGCTCGGGGCGTGTTCCAAGGCCCTGGAGAGCTCCGAGGAGCTGCTGGAGGCGGCCAACCAGGCCCTGGGCACGGCCAACCCCCAGGACTTCTCCCAGGTGGGTCCCCGCCGTGCCGGGGGTGGCCCTGCCTGGCTGTCCCCGCGCTGGGGTGTCCTGACCCCCCCTTGCCACCCGCTGGATGCCACCCCGGGCCGGGCACCCCCTTTCTCTGCGCTGGGCTGGCTGTGCCTGGGGGGGAGCCCAGGGCCCCCCTTGCTCCTGACACGGAGGGGCACCATGGTGGGGGCACGGGGGGCACACGGGGTGCTGTGCCAGGGGTGCTGTGCCAGGTGAACCACTGAGGGGTGCAGGGATGCTCTGGGATGCAGGGATGCTCAGGGGTCCTCTGGGATGCTGTGGGGTGTAGGGATGCTCTAGGATGCAGGGATTCAGGGATGCATCCCTCAGGGATGTTCAGGGGTGCTCTGGGATGCAGGGATTCAGGGATGCTGTGGGGTGCAGGGATGCTCTGGGATGCAGGGCTGCTGTAGGGTGCAGGGGTGCTGTGGGATTCAGGGATGCTCTGGGATGCAGGGATTCAGGGATGCATCCCTCAGGGATGTTCAGGGGTGCTCTGGGATGCAGGGATTCAGGATTCAGGGATGCTCTGGGATTCAGGGGTGCTCTGGGGTGAAGGAATGCTCTGGGATGCAGAGGTGCTGTGGGATTCAGGGATGCTCTGGGATGCAGGGATTCAGGGATGCTGTGGGGTGCAGGGATGCTCTGGCATGCTGTGGGGTACTCTGGGATGCAGGGATTCAAGGATTCAGGGATGCTGTGGGGTGCTCTGGGACGCAGGGATTCAGGATTCAGGGATGCTCTGGGATTCAGGGGTGCTCTGGGGTGAAGGAATGCTCTGGGATGCAGAGCTGCTGTGGGGTGCAGGGGTGCTCTGGGATGCAGGGGTGCTCTGGGATGCAGGGCTGTTGTGGGATGCAGGGCTGCTGTGGGGTGCAGGGGTGCTCTGGGATGCAGGGATTCAGGATGCAGGGCTGCTCTGGGGTGCAGGGCTGCTGTGGGGTGCAGGGCTGCTGTCCCTGCTGGGTGCCACAGCTGGCGCAGGTCCCGCATGTGCCCCCTGTGCCCGGCTCTGCTGCCTCACTGCTGCCTCTCTCCTCTTTCCCTCTGCGCTCACAAGGCGGCCAAACAGATCAAGGATAGGTACGGCCTCCCGAGCCCCCCGCCCACTAACCCCTCCTCCTCCTCCTCCTCCTCCTCCTCCTCCTCC